CTCCTCGCCCCGGCTGCGGCCAGCTGCCGCAGGAGGAGACGCCCCACGGCGCTCCTCGTGCCGCCGAGGGCAGAGCCGGCTCCCCGGGGCGGGCAGGCTGCTCACATCGCTGCTGTGTCCCCCCAGAGCCGGCGCCTGCGGACCGAGGACCTGCGGGACCCCGACATCTCCAAGGAGATCGCGGTGAAGATGTCCCGGTTCCACGGCATGGTGATGCCCTTCAACAAGGAGCCCAAGTGGCTGTTTGGGACCATGGAGTGGTGAGGGCAGCTGCTGTCCTGCGCGGGCGCAGGCTCCCAGATCACCTCAGCCCCTGAAATCCCGTGGGGTCTGGAGCACAGGGAGGTTTCCCAGCTGGCTGCTGGCAGGGCCCACGGGGACGGGGCGCAGAGCAGCTCCGCGGCAGCTCCGGCTCTGCGCTGGGCTGGGGAGAGGGGCGATGTGGTGGGGTGGCAGCGCCCAGGGGTGTCTGTCCCACGCGGGGCTGTCTCCTGCACTCCAGGTACCTGAAGCAGATTTCGGAGCTCACCTTCCCCGAGGAAGGGCAGCTGAAGAAGTTCAACCACCTCAAGACTTATAACCTGCAGGAAGAGATGAAGAGCCTCAGGTGAGCCGGACCTGCCTGCCGGCATGGCGCAGTGCCGGGGCTGCCCTGTTTCATTGCCAGCCTCCTCGCGGGCAGCCCAGGGCGGCTCAGCTTCTCTGGAAACCGATCTCTTCTGTCCCGTGTCCTTGGAGGGTGCCCTCCACCCGCGGGCCCTGCGTGGGCGCTGGGGGACAGCTCTCGGAGCGGTCCTTGCATCCCTGGGGCAGGGTTCCTGCCGGGTTCCTCGCGCTCTGGATCCCAGCTGCGTCCGTAGCTCTGTCCGCCCACGCGCAGTGGCAGCAGCGGCCCCCGCGTCCCTGCGGCTGGTGGGCGAGGGCCGGCGGGTCCTGCCCCTGCTGAGGCCGCTCTCCCCTGAACTGCAGGGAGCTGCTGGAGTCCACCCCCTCACCGGTGGTCTTCTGCCACAACGACGTCCAGGAGGGTGAGTGCGGTGGGCGGGCGGGTGGGTGCGGGAGGGTTGGTGCGTGCGGCGGGCGGCTGCTGCCCCTCGCGGAGGCCTGGTCCTGCAGCCGGTCTCTCTGCCTGGGCTGCCCAGCGGAGCCTGCCCGCCCCTGGGCACGGGCTCGGCTCCTGCCCCTGCCCGCAGCCGCCCCCGGCGCCGGGGCAGCTGGTGGGGCCCCCGAGGCAGCCCCGTCTCTGCGCAGGGAACATCCTGCTGCTGGCTGGCCAGGAGGCTTCCTCCTCTGACAAGCTCATGCTCATCGACTTCGAGTACAGCAGCTACAACTACCGGTGGGTCTGGGGGCTGCGGGGGGCTGGGCTGGGCCCCGCGCAGGGGTCCGGTCTCCCGCTCATGAGAGGCCGGGGCTCTGCTCACCCTCCCCTTTCCCCAGGGGCTTCGACATCGCCAACCACTTCTGCGAGTGGGTTTACAACTACACCCACGATTCCTGGCCCTTCTTCAAGGCTTCCCTGGAGAACTACCCCAGCCGGCAGCAGCAGGTAGGGCTGCCCTGTCCCTCGGCAGCGGGCAAGGGCTGCTCCCAGCGAGGGGGTCGAGGCAGGGGGGCCCTTGCGGAGGCTGGCAGGGGTGTGCCAGACGTGGTGGTGCCGGGGCGGTGCAGGCAGCCAGCCCCCTGCCCGGTGTCGGCAGCGTCCCTGCCTGCTCTGTTCCCCTTCCAGCTGCATTTCATTCGGCATTACCTCTCGGAGGACTCGGGGCGACGCGGGGACACTACGCACGAGGAGCAGGCCCGCATCGAGGAGGAGATGCTGACGGAGATCAACCGGTGAGGGGCACGCCGGGGCGGAGCGGGGTCCCTGCGGCTGCGGGGGCCATCCTGGGGGCATGTCCCCCGGTCCCCGCTGCACAGAGAGGGCAGCATCCCCAAAACCCTGGCGGGGCTGACGGCTGCTCTCCATCAGGTTCGCTTTGGCCTCTCACTTCTTCTGGGGCCTGTGGTCCATCGTGCAGGCAAAGATCTCCACCATCGAGTTCGGGTACCTGGTGAGCGCTGCCCGTGGGTGCCTTGTTCAAGGCTTGCCCGGGGATCCCTTGCACATCGCCCCTCCCCTGACGCGGGGTGACGGGGCTGGGGGTGGTGGGGGGCACGGGCAGTCCCCAACTCCCCTTTTCCGCCCCAGGACTATGCACAGAGCCGTTTCGAGGCCTACTTCCAGCACAAGGCGCAGTGCTCCTGAGAGCGGCCATGCCAGCCCTGCCTGCGCCCGCCTCGACTCCGCAGCCTCCCCCTGCCTGCCCCGGCAGCGCCCGTGCCGCGGGGCAGCCCAGGGACGTGGCGTCCTCTCCTGGGTGGGCTCCCCCCGTGCTGCGAGGGGGGCTGCTGCCCAGAGCGGGACTGTAACGGTTCAGGGAGTGGGTCTGCCCAGGCGCGTGCCCCTGGAAAAGGGGACGCCCTGCTTGGAGAGGTGGCACACCAGCCGTGAGGCCGTGTCTGTGCCGCCGCTCCTGCAGAGATGGCCCCTGGCAGAGGGGGGAGGCAGTTGCCCCAGCCCTGCCTGCCCCTCTGGTGCTGCCTGCGGCTGCCCTCCTGCCCCTGGCACATCCTCCTGTGGCAGTGCGTCCCTTGCCTCTGCGCCGCTGGCATGGAGCGGGGCTTGAGCTGCGGGTCCTGGCCGGTGGGAGCCCTCTGCCCCAGCCAGCAGCGGGAAGGCTGGTGCCGCCTGGACCAGGGGGAACGGCTGTCCTGGCTGTCCTGGCTGCCCCTTGCACGGTCCTGCCCGCAGCTGTGGTCCTGCCCGCGGAGGGGCGTCCAGGCAGGGGTGCTGAGAGGTCCCAGGGTGCTGCTGGGGGCAGGGGGGTGCAGGGGACCTACACTCGCATCTCATTCCCCCCCGCACCCCTCCCAGAGCTCTGGGGCTGGGGCAGCACCTGAGAGCGGCTCTGCCAGCCCCCGCGCCCCGGCCTGGCTTCCCTGCGGCTCGTGGCTGCGTGGCGTCACTGCTCGGCTGGGCTGGGGCCCGGGGGCCGGGGGCTGCTCCTCCCTTCCCCTCCCCTCCCGACAGCAGAATGTAAACTGTCCTCAGACCAATAAACGCTGCGGTGGTGCACGGTGCCTGCTTGCTCTCCATGGCCCCATGGCCACCACCTCCTCCCTGCTCGCCCCCAGCCCCGGGCTCTCCCGGGCCATCCTGCCTCCCGCTGCTGGGCTGTTGCAGCGGCCGGGGGGCCACCCCACAGCAGCATGTGCCAACCCGCTCCCCACATCCCTCTCCGCAGAGCCACCAGCCCGCGCTGGGGGGGTCGGCAGGGGCTGTGGCTTGGGACAGGCAGCGGGTGCTGCAGCTTACGCCTGCCCGGGGCCGGGCTGGAGGGGACAGCGGGGGGCACGGGCTGCGATGGAGACACGGGAGGCCCAGGCCGTGTCCCCCACCTCGCCCTGGAGGGTCTCGCCCATCATAGCTGCTCCGGTTTGTGCTGTGGCAGAGGAGATGCTGCCCCATCTCCTCCCGCCCGCGCTGCTCCAGGGCCTTCGGTTACTGGGTGCGTCCCCGGGGGCTGCCTGCTGCTGTCCTGACCCCTGCAGCCCCACCGCCGAGGGACAACGCTCCGCGGGCACTCGTGGGGAGCAGGCAAGCGTGCCCCTGCCCCATGGTCTCTGATTCCCCCAGAGCCGGGGTGCTGGGTGGCTCGTGTCCGCCCTGCTCCAGGTCGCCCCAGCCCCCCAGGACCTTCCTGGCCCGTGGTGCAGCCAGCAGAGCCCCAGGGCCGTGAGCTGACCCGGGCACACA